CCTTTTGTACTTCCTGTGCTAAAGAGTGGCTCATTCACAAAGCTTTATCTGATGAGAGGTTTTTTTTTTTTTCACTTCTGAAAGCAAGGCATTGTTCTATTGTTGGAGTATTAGGGGTGGGCAGCAGGAAAAGACTGATTCTAGGTATGCAATATAAAACTCACCCTCAGTTGAAATTAGATAGTGTCTTGAATGCGTGTAAATTCTTTCACTTGGCAGATCATAACCTGAAGGTTTATATTTTGAAACAACTTATAACTGAACAAAACTTTTTTTTCATATTGGAGTAAGAGCCTTAGTACTGTCTAGGAATTTGTTTTTCATTTGACTTAGTTTATTATTATTTTCAAAGAGGATTTTAGCTGTTATTCTTGTATCCAAAGAGCCTTGGGCTCATATCATGTTCTTGCTGTGAATTTACACATCCTGTTCTTTAAGTCTAGGAAATGTTTTTTCCTCCATCTGGTTCAGTCACACATTTCCCTACTTACTAGTTTTTTTTTGGGGGGGGGGAGGGCTGGTATTGGTGCTTGAACTCAGGGTCTTGCTCTATGGCTTGGCTTTTTCACTCAAGGCTATACCACTTGAATGACACTTCTACTGCCAACTTTTTGCTGGTTATTTGAGATGAATGTCATGGATTTTTCTGCCAGATCTGCCCTGGAACTGTGATCCTCAGATCTCAGCCTCCTGAGTTGCCATGTTCCCCTTAGTTTGCTGAGGCTGAATACCCAGATACTTGCTTGATAGATTGCTGCCCGTGATATATATCACGGTATTGCTATGGATGCTAGACTATTAAATATTTCACAATTGAAATATTTAATACTGATGGGTTAAATCCATATCTGGCCTGTTAAAGGCTAAACTTGATAGGTGCTTCAAAGTTGAGTCACTCACTTGAAGGAATGTGTTTAATTTTCAGTCTTGATTATAAATTCCAAAATGTATCAGTTAATGAGATTATCATGTAATCTCATTACTGGCAATTTTACTGATGTAAGGAGAGCCTCAAGATTATAGAAAACCACTATCTTTTCATGACCACTTCCTGTGCACGCTCAGGTCACCAAGCAGAGGACCTGGTCATAGTCTGACATGCAGGACAGGGCAATAAACTTGGAAATTACTGAAATGTTTCTATTTTTAAATGCTTTGTTTTACCTTAATTATTCAAAGTTTGTATTCTTGTAAGGGCTTGCAAAGTTCATTGTTTGATTCTTAGGAACAGGTTCATGCTTATTGTGCAGGTTTATACAATACTGAAAAAGAAGCGCAAATGTGTTAGAAGTCTTACAAAAGAAAAGGGGCGCTGGTAGCTCACACTTGTCATCCTAGCTACTCAAGAGGCTGAGCTGTGTGTGTCCTTGTTTAAAGCCAACTTGGGCAGAATTGTCTGAGGCTCTTATTTCCAACTAACCAGCAAAAGGCCGGAAGTGGAGCTGTGCCTCAAGTGGTTAAACATCAGCCCTGAGTGAAGAAACCAAGTGAGGGCATAGGACTCTCAGTTTAAGCCCCAGTACTGGCACCATAAAAAAAAGAAAGAAAAAAATAGAACTGAGCTTCTTATTTATTGCAGACAATTATTTGTGTATTCATTTATTCCTTTATTTATTGTTCAATCCCAGGGTTTGAACTCAGGACATGCTTGTTCAGCTTGCTTGCTCACTCAGCTGAACCTCTGCCACTTGAGTCAGACCTCAAGCTTGACTTTGACAAGTGTTTTGGAGATTGCATCTCATTGGGCTTTTCTGTTTAGGCTGCATTCAAACTGATCTTCAGGATCTCAGCCTCTAAGTAGCTGTAATTAAATAGGCTTAAGCCACTGACACCTAAGGATGTGTACATTTTTTAAAACTCTTTTAAATTGGTATGTGATAATACACAGGTATGTTGAGTGCTGCGTGGTAATTGGATACATATATGTGTATGGAGTGATCAAATCAGGGTAATTAGAATTTTCATATCCTTAAACATTTATCATTTCTTTGTGTTGAGGGCATTTTAACTCCTGTCTTCTGAGAAGCCATTCTCAGAGGGGTGGATGTGTGCTAGCCTGTATTTGAAGAACGTCAGCATGTGGCCTTGAACATACACTGCATTGCTCAGAGTCTTTTTTTTTGTCCGTCTTGGGGCTTGAACTCTGGGCTTGGGCGCTGTCCTTGTGCTCTTCAGCTCACGGCGAGCACTCTACCACTTGAGCCACAGCACCACTTCCAGTTTTCTAGTGGTTTATTGGGGAGATGAGAGTCTCACGGACTTTTCTGCCCGTGCTGGCTTTGAACCACGATCCTCAGATCTCAGCCTCCTGAGTAGTTAGGATTACAGGCATGAGCCACCAGCACCTGACTTGCTCAGAGTCTTATTCTTTGATCTTCTCTGCTTTGCCTTTCCCACCCAGGCCTCACACTTTCACAATAAAGTAGTTAGAAATTTAAAATCTTACACTAATCACATTTGTAACTCAAGGACCTTACATATGAAATCTTGGAAAATCAGCCTCCTTGCTTCATAGATTTTTCTTCTTCCTTCCTTCCTTCCTTCCTTCCTTCCTTCCTTCCCTCCTTCCCTCCTTCCCTCCTTCCCTCCTTCCTTCCTTCCTTCCTTCCTTCCTTCCCTCCTTCCTTGCCTCCCTCCCTTCCTCCCTCCCTCCCTACCTCCTTTCTTTCCTCTCTCTTCCCCTCCCTCGCTGTCTCCCCCCACCTCTCTTTCTCTCTTTGTGTCAGTAGTAGGCCTGGACACTGTCCCTTAGCTTTGTCACTTAAGTCTGCCGCTCTGCCACTTGACTCACATCTCCACTTTTGGCTTTTTGGTGCTTAATGAAAATCAGAGTCTCTTGGACTTTCTTACCCAGGCTGGCTTTGAATAACAGTTCTCAGATCTCAGCCTCCTGAGTAGCTAAGATTTTAGGTGTGACTCACTATACTGAACTGATAACTCTTTCTTTAGTACCCTGTGTATACCTTCTATAGAGTATTTTTGCCCATAGCCCTTGATAGTCATATAGTTTTATCTTAAGCCAGGTGCTGTAGTTCATACTATACCAAGCTACTCAAGAGGCTATGATCTGAGGATCCTGTTTTGAAGCTAACCGAGCAGAAAAGTCCATGAAACTCATCTCCAGTGAACCAGCTAAAAGCTGGAAGTTGAGCTGTGGCTCAAGTGGTAGAGCACCAACCTTGAGCAACAAAGCTTAGCAAGAATATGAAGTTCCTGAGTTCACACCCCAATACTGGCAGAAAAAGAAATCATCATTCTTGAATGTCCCTGGAGAATATCCTTAGGAGAATTACTGGCAGTGACAACAATAATAGTCACCCAATACTCACATTAGCCCAGTTAACTCTGAGTCTGCAAAGCTTCAATTCTTATCACACTGATTTTTATTATGAATTAGGAAAGCTGGGCACAGAGTGATTAAGTGACATTCTCAGCCTACACATCCCTCCTCCATGGATGACCTGTGCCAGCCAGCTAGCATGCCACCGCACGTTGTGACAGCCTGCATTGCTGAACTAGCCTGGTCCCCTGCAAGCCTTGGAGCTGCTGTCTCTTGTCTGATACTCAGCCATTTGAAGTAGCATGCCAAGTGACCCAAAATTTGGTGCCACTCAACCAAGCCCCAAAGTTCAGTGACACCCGCCCCTGTTAGTTTGGGGGCAGTGGGCTGAATTGGTGCCTTCTGGATGCAGGAATTTGAGTCAGATAAAACAGTTTAAAATCTGTAACAGATAAAATACACAATAAAAGGAGGAGAATGAAGAATACCTTCCCTGGTGACATTGACCAAGAAGCCTTGTACTCAGAACCTGACTTATGGACCTGTAACCCCTTTGTACAAATTGCTTAATAATAATAGTTGTAACAATTCACCTGTCAGTTGTGAGAGTCAAAAGGAGGGAACAAAAGAATACCTTCCATTTAGTTGCCTTGTTCTTTTTAGCTTTTCTTTTTTCCCCCAGAGCTGAGGACTGAACTCAGGGCTTTGTACTCTTCCACCGAGCTGAGCTAAATCTCCAACCCCTACCTTCTGTACAGAAGCATACTACTACCTTAGAATTTTAGTCTCTCTCTCTCCCTCCCTCCCTCCCTCCTTCTCTCTCTCCCTCCATTCCTCCCTCCCTCCCTCTCTCTCTCTCTCTCTCTCTCTCTGGTGTTGGTACTGGGGCTTGAACTTAAGGAGCTTGCACTGTTCACTATTTCACTTGAGGCTTGCACTCTTACACTTGAGCCACACCTCCACTTCCAGATTTTTCCTGGTTAATTGGAGATAGGAATCTCACAGTCTTTTCTCCTTGGCCTTGCTTCAAACTGCAATCTTTATATCTCAGCCTCCTGAGTAGCTAGGATTGTTGTAAGGCAAATTATCCCAGAAGCCACATTTTGGAAGATGGCATATTGGGGTCTTTATTATACAGTTAGCAGGTTGCAGGCAGCCAGTTGTAACAGAGGCTTGCAGTCCCCAAATGTACTTAACAAGGTTAGGAAACAGGCCAGAGAGGAAAGAACAAAAACAATACCAACAAACCACTTCAGCTCTGATGGAAAGCTGAATTGGGACACTATGATGACTGGAGACAAATCAGGAGACAGGACACAGAACACAATCATGGAGACACACATGGCATGGCATCCTGGCGTTTGGGCTAGTCAGGGCCTAAAGGAAATTCCAGGCACTGGACTGACAGATTCGGTATCCTATCAGCCAAGTGCCCACTCCTGTAGGTGATGGGCAGGGGATGTTTCCCTTCCCCAGCATGAAGACAAGATGCCAGACTCTACCATCTACCATGTGGCCAAGGTGGTGCCGGCCAGACCTGGCCTCCTTATTTCATGATCACAAGCATAGCCACCAGTGCCCAGCCATTTTAGTCTTCTATACAATGTCCATACTTGGAGCAGCTTGAGTCAAGATCTCATACAGATGGGAATAACAAAAACATTTTATTTATTGAGAAACAAACCCATGGGGATTGTATACCAAGAGCTAAGCAAAAGGTTTAACTGTCTGGGGATGGAGGGTGTCGTGGCTGGCGGCATCCTCGAGGCTCCACTGTGTTGCTCCTTACAGAATGTCTCCTTACTGTATTTTGGTGCCATCGGGTCTGGCCCTTGTCAGGTTGCTCTCTCCTCCGGAGGGAAGAGAGGACTTGCTGCCGTAGCCAGCGGAAGGCCCACCCAAAGTTCAGGCAGGATATGGTGGGAGTGTCTGCATCAGAGGTCGCCGCCTCCTCCAGCTGTCCAGATGAGTTGAAGGAGGTTTCTGGAGTGCTCTTGCTGTGGTTCTCAGTCTCTTGGCTCATCACCTGCTTAGAAAAGGAGACTGAGTCAAGTCCCATCCACCTCTACTTGTTTGTGAGCCTCAACATAAATTGCTAAAAGAAAACATAGCCCAACTGTAAATGCCAAGTACTGATACCCATACATACTTAAATACATTTGCGTTCTCTCTCTTCCTCCCCCCATCCCCACCCTCTGTGAAGGTACTGGGGCTGAACTCAGGGCCTAGGCATTGTCCCTTAGCTTTCTCACTCAAGGCTGGCACTCTACCACTTAAGCCACACCTCCACTTCCAGCTTTTTGCAGGTTCATTGGAAATAAAGAGACTTGCAGACTTACCTACCTGGACTGGTTTTGAACTGTGATCCTCATATCTCAGTCTCCCTAGATAGCTAGGATTATAGGTGTGCGTTACCAGTACCCTGCTCCAACAGGTATTAAAGGTCCACTGTCAAACCAAATATTATCACTAGGGTTGTCCTGGCAATCCTGTGGAGCATCTCTGTGCTCTCTACCCGAGTTCATGTTCCCTAAACTGGAGGAGTCTCTAGAAACTAGATGTCATCTGCATTGTCTGGTACAGTCCCCTTGGACAAGCCTTGACAGTGTGACTGACCTGAGCCATTTGTGGAGGGGTGCTGCTGGCCAGCAGGAAATCTTCCTCCTGAGTAGATTTCAGAAACATGGACTCCTCTTCCTCCTTATCAGCTTTCTGATTTTCTAGAAAAGTTTCAAGCTTGTGTACAAGTCCATTGAGTTTGCCAAGAGTCAGTTTTGTGTCCTCTTCTGGCCACTTGTCTGCCCACCAGTAGGGCCTGTGTAGATCCCTATTAGTTATGGAGTTGGCTTGGTCAGAATCGGCATCCATGTCCCAGGCCAGGGGAATGCTTAGCTGGCGAAACTGCTCCCGGTTGTCCTGAATCTGTTCTTGTCTCCTCAAGAGTCTCCTTATGCTCTTCATCTGCTGGGTCCCTTGGGCAGGAGGAGGGAGGAAGTGGGCTGGAGAATCCATACACGTCAGGTCTTCACATCTGGTTAGATCCTCATAGAAAAAGTCATTCTCCCAGGGGAAATAGCCCACAGAGAGGCTCAGGTCAGATTTGGAGTCAGAGACATAGTCTTCTGTGTCCGAGTAGTCACTGCTGGAGGAGGAGGTTGCCATGACATTCCGAGGCAGAAAAACCTTAGCTCTCCCTTGACTTGGAACTTTAAAAGAGAAAAACACACACACACACACAAACAATAACTAATGTTGGGAAGAAGGAGAAAGTCATGTCCTTAAGCAACAATATATCTACCTTTTTTTCTGGTGTGTGTGTGCACTGGTACTGGGCTTTGAAATCAGGGCCTAGGCCCTCTCTCCCTTATTTTTTACCTTACATCTGATAATCTGCCATTTGAACCACATTGTACTTGTGGCTTTTTTTTTTTTGGTAGTTAATTAGAGATAAGAGTCTCTTGGGCTTTCCTGCCTGGGTTGGCTTCAAACTGTGATCCTCAGATATTAGCCTCTTGATTAGCTAGGATTACAGGCCTGGGCGACTATGCCCAGTTGAAATCAGTTTTTAAAAAGAGAACCTGCCTGGGCTATGAATGTGGCTTAGTGGTAGAGTGCTTGCCTAGCATGCATGAAGCCCCTGGGTTAGATTCCTCAGTACCACATAAACAGAAAAAGGTGGAACTGATTCTGTGGCTCAAATGGTAAGAGTGCTAGCAGAAGAAGCTCAGGGACAGTAATAGGCCCTGAGTTCAAGCCCTAGGACCAGCAAAAACCAAACCAAACCAAAAAAACGTAATTTTTATCTATATATCTAGGCATATATGTGTATATATACATACATACATCTCTCTGTATACATATATAGATATATATAGTTATATATATTTTTTGGTCATGGTGCTTGAACTCTGGGCCTAGGCGTTGTCCCTTAGCTCTTCAGCTCAAGGCTAGCATTCTACCACTTGAGCCACAGCACCACTTCTGGTTTTCTGGTGGTTTATTGGACATAAGAGTCTCATGGACTTTCCTGCCAGGGCTGGCTTTGAACTGCAGTCCTCAGATATCAGCCTCCTGAATAGCTAGGATTACAGGCATGTGCCACTGGCACCTGGCCTCTTATAGTCTTTTATGTACCAAATTGTTTTCTGGAAAGGTTATGGATATTTAAATGCCTACCTTCTCACCATCTAATGGCATGTTTGGTCCAGCTTTCTGCCTGAAATTCATGGAAGTGTGACTGGAAGAGCATGGGCACATGCACATGCATGCGCACACATGCGCACAGACACAAACACACAGACACACACAGACACACACACACCTCTCACCCCCCTGGTTTGATGGCTGCCTACATGAGAAGAAGCTCTTCAAACTCCTGAGGCATAAATAGGATGTTGACACTTGAGTCCCTCACTCAAGTGTCAGGGACTCCAGGTCCAACTGCCTGACATCTGTGTTCCAGGACTGTTGGTTTCCCCAGCAACAGAGCAGCCAAGTCAAAGTCATGAGTGTGGGGAGAAAAAGCCATAGTCAGTCCCCTTGGGACACACATCAGGGTACTGAAGAGGATCCTTGTGGCTTAAAGAATGATTATGGTTCTTAATTTTTTTTAATTTTTAGCTTTTTTTCATATGCCTATACTGGGGCTTAAACTCATAGCCTTGTGCTTTGGCTTGGCGATTTTGTTCAAGGTTGATGCTCTTACTATTTGAGCCACAGCTCAGTCATGTGAGGGCATAGGGGCCTCATTGCCAGGCTAGGGGTAGAGTGGTGGCATCAAGGCAGACCTGGGCAAGGCGGAGTTTAAGTGAGTGACCTAAGCACTTCCTGCTTCTTCCTCGCTGGTTACTTAGTGATAGGAATCTCATGGACTTTCCTGCCCAGACTAGTTTTGAACTGAGATCCTTAGATCTCTGCTTCCCTAGTAGCTTGCTAGGACTATAGGGATGAACCTTTGACACCCAGCTACCTTTTGATTCTTACTTCTTATTTTATAATAATTGTGACAGGATTATTAAACAAGGGATGGAGGTGTGAAGAGGGAACAGTTGGTGGGAGCAGCCCACAGTGAGCAGGTCGGGCACAGGGGATGGATGTGGTCAGTGAGGCTGACTAGATTCTTAGCTGAAATAGGTGTGATTATTTTGGGTGAGGTTGGTGGATTGTACAGTTTTCTTTGTTCTGTTTCCGTGTTCATTCCCAAATAGAGACACCATATCACAGTTGGTGTTCATTCAGGGGGCAGAGAATGACATGCCATGGTGGTTTTTTTTAATATTTGTACAAATAATAAAAAAAATTAGACATGAACTAGTTTCCAATTGTGATTGTATATGAAAATGTAGTCCATGTAACCATTGTGCTTCTGGTTGGGACTCACCCTCAAGTGAGGTGGATCCTCCGCTGTGATGCCTGGTCACGGAGCCCCTGCACAACTGTGCAGGTCCCACTAAAGAACCAATCAGGATTTGAATGCTTTCCCAGGGTACTGCTACTGGAGGAGGCCACATTGCAGACTTGTCCAACAGGAAATGCACTGAAGGAATCTGTTGGGGGTTATGAATAATGTCATGTGACATTTAATTTGCATCATGTTGAGAAACCACAGGTAGAAGTAATTGAAATACAGTTTTTCTGTTTCTAGCACTTCTTTTTTTTTAATGTGCCATACTGGAACTTGAATGTAGAGCCTCCCATTCTTGCTTAGATTTTCTGCTCAAGGCTGCTACGCTACCACTTCAGTCACACTTCCACTTCTGGCATTGGGCTGGTTAATTATAGATAAGAGTCTAATGGATCTTTCTACCTTGGTTGGCTTTGAACCTCCATCCTCAATCTCAGCTAGGATTACAGCCACCAATACTGGGACTCTTCTTCTAGAAACCATTTTAAATTGGGTAAAGGAAAAAAAATAAATGCAAAATTTGAGGAAAGAAGGTAAGGAGGATGTAGACTCCACAGGAAACAAACAAGAAACTACAGATTAAAGACTGGCATTTAATGACCTTTGCTTAAAAGACTCATATAAAATGATCAAAATGTGAAGACAACCTTTTTTTTTACTAGTTCCCAGGAGATTTTAGAAAAGAATGAATGTTGAACTAGGAACCTGTAACTCATGCCTGTAATCCTAGCTACTCAGAAGGCTAAGACCTGAGGATCTTGATTTGAAGCCAGACTGGGCAGGAAAGTTAGTGAGACTAAGGCTAAGTAAATTAAATGTCTTGGGGAGTTCCCTGCTGTATCTGTGAATAGATACTTTTATATATCTGCATAGGCTCTGTTCAATTTGGAGCCTTTGTACATAGGCTTAGAAGGAAGTTCATTTTCTAAAGTAAACTTGTGCAGGCTGCCAGCATAGAAATGGGTTAATAAGAATGATGCAGTGGCTCATGCCTGTAATCCTAGCTACTCAGGAGGAAGCTGAGATCAGAGGATCATGGCTCAAAGCCAGCCTGTGCAGGAAACTCTGTGAGACTCTTATCTCCAATAAACCACTCAGAAACATGGAAGTGGCACCCAGGCTCACTCAAGTGGTAGGGTCCACACCTTGAGCTGAAAAGCTGCAGGATAGCTCTCAGGCCCAGAGGTTCAAGTCCCACGACTGACAAAAGAAAAGAAAAGAAAAGAACGATGCAGAAGCCAGACTCCCCCATAGCTCACACCTATAATCCTAGGTACTCAGGAGGCTAAGATCTGAGAATTGTGGTTCTAAGCCAGCTCAGACAGCAAAGCCTATTATCTGTCCTTCTCTCCTCCCCCCGCCCCCCCCCAACAAAACAAAACCTGGAAATGAAGCTTTGCTTAAGTGGTAAAGCTTTAGTCTTGAACAAAAAAACTCAGGGATAGTGCTCAGGTCCTGAGTTCAAGCTCTAGGACTGCACCAAAAAAAAGAGAGAGAGAGAGAGAGAGAGAGCTTGTCATTTCTTTTAAAAACTATTACTCCTTCAGCAACAATGTTAAAAATCACTTGTCTCACCCAGGCACTGGTGGCTCACACCTGCAGCTACCCAGCAAGCTGAGTTCTGAGGATAACAATTCAAACCCATCTCAGGCAGAAAAATTTGTGAGACTTTTATCTCCAATTAGCCAGCAAAGAAGTAGAAGTGGAGGTATGGCTCAAGTGGTATACCACCAGCTAGGAATGAAAAAGCTAAAAGATAGCAAGTATCCAAACCCTGAGCTCAAGCCCTGGTACACACACACACACACACACACACACACACACACACACACACACACACACACACACACACACACAC